AGATATTCATTGCTATCGGGTATGTTAAGAGCATTTCATGGAAGCTGAATTACCACCCACCTTTAAATGTACTACTTTTGAATGCAAAAACATTTACATCGGTGTACATCTTGCCTTTTTGCGAATCACTTGATTTGGACTTAAAAATACAGATGTATCAATTTTCCATGTTGTTAAATATAATTTATGGCAGGCATTACCGTGAGTGTGCCCAGCGACTTCCTTCCAGATATCTTCCAAGTGGTCCCCTCCACCTGACTCTGGAGCTCTCTGCCGCACCGGACAACATCTGCATCGCTTCCAGCTGTGTGGAGACAGCGGTGCACAGGGGCACAGCGTCACCCCCGCCAGAGGGAGTGGCACAGCAGGAAGGTGTGTGTGTTGTGTGTGATGTGTGGTGTGTGTGTTTGTGTGTGTGTGTGTGTGTGTGTGTGTGTGTGTGTGTGTGTGTGTGTGTGTGTGTGGTGTGTGTGTGTGTGTGTGGTGTGTGTGTGTGTGTGTGTGTGTGTGTGTGTGTGTTGTCTGTTGTGTGTGTGGCATAGCGTGGACATGTGTTAAATGGGGGTGCTGTGGGGAGTGACACCAGGGCTGGTTCTGGACCAATGTGCTGCCCTATAAGCAAGATTTACTTGTAATGAAAAACCCTCTACAAACATCAATACACTACAAAAAGATAAATATTGACATAGGTGACAGGTTATATAACAAGGCTTCAAATTTATTTAGTATTATAACATTGTTTTAATTGGGGGGGTGGAACTTCACATCCTCTAGGGGGTCCGGGGGTACCCCTCGGAAGATTTTTTATCATTTTAAAGTAAAATGTTCAATGTTTTGGTGCACTTTTGAGCGCCCAATTAGAAGACTTGATCTAGGGGTTACAACTCTAAACAGCCCATATGAAAAGATCGGTTTGCATTTTTATTAATCAAATAAGCTAGGTATGTGAACATTTCCAATAACCTACCATAGCCAATAACAAATACATGTAACTATTTTATTTTGTTGCTTCACTCATATCTTATTTTACCAGTTAACATTTTATTTATTTTATGTATATTTTTAAATTCTCCAGTTTTAAACGATATTTTTGGTTTACTCTCCTTAGTCATACATTGGAAGTTGAATTCAAACCTGTTTTTTATTTATCCTATAATTATAAAGGTGTTGCTTGGAAATATTTGTTACATACATTTTGATCAAAAGGTTTTGAGACCCACTGAGATAACTAGACTAAAGTGACTATCTAAACCCTTCAGTGTCCTTACTCACTGAGCCTCTCAGTCTGACAGACAGAACTCTCCCTCCACATTATTTGTAGAAACAGTTCTTATATCCGTTAGCGCAGGCAGAAGCTAACAACAAATCCCCGCCGGTACCGTGGTATCCCTTCTCTCTATCTCTCTCACTTTGGCTTGCGGGCGCCTGCTAAAGCCAACATCCTCCACTTTCATCACTTACAGCGCCCATCGTACTGTACAGGGCAAATGGAAAATGTAACCGGGTGAAAAGGGGGTGCTTAACTTTACTTAATTATGAATGTTGTACATCAAGGCTGAAAATTCGTGTTTTTTGTATTGGTGGAAGTGCAGATCCCTGTCCTCCACCAGGGGGTGCTTGGCAGCACCCTCGAGCACCCCCTACTTCCCACGGCCCTGGTAGTAACTTACGTACTTAGTAGACTACATATATAAGTAATAGTAGTGTGTGTGTGTGTGTGTGTGTGTGTGTGTGTGTGTGTGTGTGTGTGTGTGTGTGTGTGTGTGTGTGTGTGTGTGTGTGTGCGAGCGTGCGTGCGTGCGTGTGAGTTTGTCAGGAGAGTTTTCTAACTGGGATGGACAGCGAAATACTTGAATGAGAGTCAGGGACAGTGGAAACAAATTGGCTGAAAACACTTTTTACGAGGCTTGTTTTGGACATAAAACATTTATTTAAAGAAATAATAGGAACATTCTTGTGCTGCAGGGTTAAACGTTATAGAGTTAGTTTAAGTTAACCCTAAGGAAACGTGTGTTTTTCTGTTCTCCAGTCCCAGTTGGGTGTTGCAGATGTGGAGCTGAAGGGTCTCATCTCTGAGAGAGAGAGGAAGGTGGAGGAAATACACAACTCCCTACGAGAGATACAGGTGAGTTTCTCTCTTTACAAAGGTGAACCCTTTTTTAGAATGGGCAAAAGTTCAATCTGAACGAACTATCACTCTTACAATATTACAGACAGTAGCACCTCCAGTATATATATTCATTCTTAAAAATCCTATTAAAACATTTATTTTTGATGTATGTGTTATATAACGAAAACCGTGATTTCCTGAGAGCTGTCTAGCTGAGAACAGTCCCAGGGATTGAAGGTATAACTCATTTCTCATACAGAGATTTTACATTCAAAATAAATGCTTTCAGTTGCAGCGCCTTTGCCAGTATGCACAAAGTAATAGGTTGGTACAGCCTGGAAGTCTCCTGATCAGTTTGCCCCCCCGCCCCCGAGCTCTCTTTTCATCATGTCCATCTGTCCCCAGGCTGCTTTGGAGACACAGACTCATGGAACTGTGTGTGTGTTTTCCAAGCTGATCTCCAGGTTGGAGCGCTGCCAAGCTGAAGTCTTGGAGGTAAATAAAACCAACATAGGAAGTATGCAGAGAATCTCCAGGCTTTTTCTGTTAGCGTTGACATAAGACTTGTGATTATTATGGTGTGTGTCCCCCAGGTGTTGGAGAGGAGCCGGTGGGCGGCTGAGCACAGAGCGGAGGTCCTGCTGACGGAGCTGCAGGAGGAGGTCTCTGAGCTGAGGAAGAGGAGGGAGGCCGTGAGCCAGCTGGCTCTGACTGAAGACTACGTACTCTTCCTCAGGGTACTCAATGCAGGAGTCAATACAGAGATATGAGATACCACAACTAATACAGTAGTGATACATACACAGGTCTACAGGACACTGACAAGTCTGAAGTTAGTTAAAGGTCACCTATTGTGCAAAATCCACTTTTATTTTATACATCAACATGTGTCCCCTCTTCTTCATGTCTCTTCTACATCAACATGTGTCCCCTCTTCTTCATGTCTCTTCTACATCAACATCTGTCAACATGAACATCAACATGTGATTCAACTCTGGGAATAAGCAGCAGATATAATGATTTACCAATGGCACCCTCTCTGAATGTGTTTCTTTAAGCCTGTTGATATCACATGTGTTTAAGACATTCCCTCTGTGTGCAGAGCTTCCCTGCCCTGTCCAGCCTTCCCCCAGCGAAGGACTGGTCCTCTGTCTCTGTGGTGTCTGAGCTGACCTCGGGGGCGGTTCTCAGGACTGTATATCAAATGATGGAGCGCGTCCAGGAAGAGATACAGCAACTGCCCAAAGTCTGTAAGTCTAAGAGAGATGTTGATTTCAAGGGGAAGATCATGACACAGATGGAATTATCTTGAATCTTATGTGCAAAGTCTTTAGAAATAAAAGGATCACCTGAACCATAGCAGTGTCTACACTTGTGTTCTACGAGCTCTAATAGTGTTTATTAGTATAGTGGTATAAAAATCATGTTCATTCCCATATTTCACAGTCCAGCAATCGTCGGAGCATGCTGTACCAAAGACCAACCCAAGTAAGATCCTGATTAACTAACAGCACAACATGTTATTTAAATCAGTGGCAGAATCATTTCAAAAGAAAATATATTCTATTCTTTGCAGAGACAAGAAAGGTTCAAGAATATGCAAGTAAGGATTGAAAGGAGTCTGTTGTCATTGTAAACAGTGGTCAGTTATGTTTTCATTGCTGGTGTAATCATAAACATCTCTCAATCTGTCAGCAAACGTCCTTTTAGATGCCAACACAGCCCACCCACGGCTCATCATCTCAGCTGACGGGAGGCAGGTTCAGTGTGGGGAGCGCCACCAGTCTCTGCCCGACTACCCCGAGCGCTTCGACCGGGTGGTGTGTGTGCTGGGCCGCCAGGGCCTCAGCTCAGGGCGCCACTACTGGGAGGTACAGCATGTGGACAGATACTGTTTGTTCTAGAACGGTGCAGTGATAGCGTCTTTTTTTAGGTTGACCCCTCGACTAGTAGCAATGAGGATTTTTCCATTGGATTTGGGAATACTGCAGAAACAAATCATTATAATACTGTCAGCATGATTATCTCCACCTGCAGTATTAATAACACTTTTTTCAGCGTAAATGCATTTGCCAGACGGAAATAGTTAACGTTTGGCTATAAACAAACTATTTACACATGAAAATCTCAAGGAAACTGGAAGAAATAGTAACTAATTTCCAGGTTCTAAGACACATTCCTGCAGCTCTCTACATTGACAGTACTGACCCCTGACTGTCTCAAGAAGCATGCACTGCACCATGTGATGTCAGGCTGAGAAAATACCTGTGCACGCAAACATGCAGTTCACCCAACATGAATAAGTTTTGTTTTTGAGGATTATGTAATTTTTTTTATCAATCTACAGAGACACAGAAGGCTGTTTAATTTATTTTGAGTCAATGATGAAACTTTTCTTGGAAAACTGCCTCAATGTTGAACAACAAAATAAGCAGATTACAATTTGAAAGAGCTTGTGAAATACTGCTACTGTAGCTTACATCTAAGGGAGGCATAGATAACTTGGCTGATATTGGTATGTCATTTATGGGAAACTCTCTTGAACACAGGGATTTTGGCCTTTGCAATAATTTCCAAGCAAAAAAACCTATAAAACACACTACAGGAGAAGGAAAAGCCCAACAAGCAGAATAGGGCCCTTTAACTCTTGGCAGTAACTGCAGCGCTCTGCTCCTACAGGTGGAGGTTGGAGGAAAGACTGACTGGGACCTGGGAGTGGCAAGTCACTCCGTCAATCGGAAGGGCAAAATCACTGTAAGCCCCGCCCACGGCTACTGGTTCCTGAGCTTGCGAGATCGGACGGACTACGCCTTCCGAACAGAACCCTCCACCAACCTGACCGTGAACCCCAGACCCACGCGGGTGGGCGTCTTTGTGGACTGTGATAAGGGGGTGGTGTCCTTCTTCAATGTGGAGGCCAGATTGCTCATCTTTACATTCACAGATGTCTTTCCTGACACCATCCATGCCTTCTTCAGCCCCTGTACTAACAAATCAGGGCGGAATGAGGCTCCACTTATCATCTGCCCTGTTGCAATGCCAGAATGAAATGTGAAAAGGACTTCTTCACTTCCACTCGCTTCATGTATGATGGAAGATACCTCTGCAATATATTTGATCATCTGCAATTTAATGCTGTGTAGACTAAGTCATGAGGCTAAAAGTTTACTTCATTTATTTATGCCTGAGGTGTCACTCATGTGGCGGTCCATATGTCAATACTTTAAGACTGTTCTCACATTGGTAATTTCCATTTTTGGTTATATCTATTCAGACACACTGCAGCACAGAGACATAGCTGAAACCAAGGTAAACAAAATGTTTTTAGTCTGAGGGAAAACATTAAAAAAATAAAGACTACACCAAAAACAGTGTGATGTACAGTATGAGAGTCTTGGCTAAATGTGTGGCTCTTTGCAAAAGTCCAATCATACCGGACCTAAAGGCTTACATCTAGTTCAAAATATATTTTTTATGACGATTGTGTCTGTTTAGAATTCTGTCAATTCAGTAGTCGCTTTAACTTTAACACTACTTTAACAACGTGTTAAAATGATTATTATTACATATTATTATATAAGATGTTATTTTATTGTTTACTTTTATATCATGCAATGGTTTACAAACTACATTTGAATATACTGATCAGCATTTTTAAGATACCTTCATTCATTTTGTTCACGATCACTGCACTGTACTGCAAATTGAAAATGTTTGCAGCTGGGTGTCCAAGCAGCAATTAAGTGGCACAAACACAACAATACCATTTTGAGTTGTCATTCAAAGTTGACATGACCACAATTTACAGAATGCTGTCAGGCCAGTTGGGGCATGACATTTGTTCTGTTGTAAAGAGCAAACAGGGAAGCTTAAATGGATCATAGAAGTTATTACGTAGCTATTCTTCGAAACAGCGATCTCATGTATCAGTCTTTGGAATGTCCCGTTCTGCTTATTGAGTCAATACGGGAATGGAAACTCTAAGTCAAGATTAAATAAAAAAAATATTTTTAACACTTTTAAATCACATATTGTACACATATTTAACAATACATTCCCAAAAAAATTTAAAGGAAAAAAATCCTTTAAACCCAATCATATGTGATGTGAACTTATGTAATATAAAGACCTCCTCTTACAACCCAGTCTCATGGCATTACGTGTTATAGTCACAACATTTAATCTATTGATTCGTGTTCACCAACACGATTTTCCCCTTTTTTTCGTGTCACACAGAACGATTTAAAAAGCAATGTATTTCTATTGGTAGTCTGTTTCATGCCTGCAGTACGTCTTTTTGTCCGGTGTCGGTACCAGATGTGTTCGGGGTACCATATGTGTTCGGGGTCCGTCTCTTACCAGTGACGTCACGACGTCATGACGTCAATGACGTCACACATTGTGATTGGCTGTACGGTAATTTACCCACGCTGTCTAGAGTATAGAGGGGTTTTTTGATCATTACATTACATTGCATTTAGCTGACGCTGAAGTGCATTCGACCAACAAGATAAAAACTTGAAGAAATACAATAAAACTTGAAGAAAAACAAAGACGAATGAGGAGAAGAACAAGAGAAATCGAAGGTAAGAAGTATATAACGTAATATGGTAGGTAATATGTAATATGTTCAGTGCCGTTGGTACGTTAGTTCAAACAGTAACAACGGACTATTTTTCTTAGCGTATGCATGTCAATTTAAATCAATACATACAACTATTTCACATGTACAATATTTTCTTAGCCCTAATACTTAATACTACTTATTTCGTTTTGATTGTTATATTTGATTATATTATATATTATCAATAAATTATATATTATATATCAATATGATATACTTTTCTATATAATAGATTATCAAAAAAAGTATTTATTAAGTAAGGGATAATGTGCAGCAATCACATCCCGAGCCTAACCGTTTGGGTGATTAACCCACACTAATCATAATTGTCAGAAGCACGTCTTCATTATAATACTTCTATCCGGCCGCTCGCCGGGCAGCCTGGCTTCAATCCAACCTTACCCCGAACCAAGCAAGGACCACCCTCACACCTCCGATCGGCCGATGGTTATATCTCCTACACCGAGACTTCGCTCTTTCCACAAACTTACCTCGTACGCCGCTCGCGTGTCCGAAATGAATATCCCCACCTAAGGGACTGCCTCGACGCAGTTCTAGAGTGGTTCAGGTTAGCCTAACCGGCATGACTGCGTAACTACGAAGATCAAACGAGGCGCTACTCCCGCGTAGGGTTCACCTCATGTAGCTTGCCACACAAACCTTACTCTTCTTTTTCTAAAATGAAGAAGAAAACCTAAGA